ATTGGTATTAGTATTAGTATTAGTATTAGTATTAGTATTAGTATTTACATTTGCTAAAAATCGAACGAAAATATGTAAGGGACGCGTTAGGCTACACCAACTTCAGTACGTTGTGCAAAATGTTGCACCAATAGGACTAAATTTGACTCTTTGGTGCACCATTTGGTGCACCTAAAAATCGGACGAAAATATATAGGGTTCGTCCCTGGCCCAAATGAATGAGCTGTGCCAAATTTCATCCAATTCGGATAATAAATGCAACCTGCACTTCGTTTACAATTTTACATGGACAGACACACGGACGGACGAACATGGATAAATCGACTCAGAAAGTGATTCTATGCATATTCTCAAAAGGAACCATGGGTCTATCTCGTTTCCTTTTGCCTGTTACAAACATATGCACAAAGACATAACACCCTGTACCACAGCGTGGTAAAGGGTATAAGATAAAAAGGGAATTAGCTGTAAATAAGCTTGTCGAATCGAAAATGTAAACAAATTCCAAAATATGAACTATCCCGGCATTAATTGGTTCAAATTATCGAGATTTCACTGTTTCGGATGTTCACAGTATCGAGAGTTCAATGTACGTTCATATTTTTAAATATCCCCATACCTACTAGCAAACAATTGACTATGACATAGCCCAATAAATAGGTCCAAACCGATTATAGAAAAGAAATACCCCAATTGGGTATTCACAAACGGCATTACCCCGTATAATCCGAAATTTCCTTTGAAAATCATCTTAACTGATTTCATATCGGTGAAAACATCATGATCTGGGGTTCAGTATATCCATAATTATTGTTGTGTGGCCTCACCAACTTCAAAAAGTGAATTGGTCAGACGGGTAGCTTATATTTTTAAAATTCATATTCAACAAACCATTAATCACAGGAGGTCGTTTAGCGGTGACCCCATGTCCACTTCTTCCATGGAGGACAGGCAGGTTAATCAAAATTTGCTCTAAAGGATATGGTCCTGTAGGTGTCCTAGCCACTTGGCTGATGATTTTTTTCATTATTAATATGATACATAAAAACAACCGATTATTTATTATGAAAAATTGCATTTGGTCTTTGGAAACTAAAATAACACCTCTTATTGGAAACCCCTTTGTTTTATATAACATATGTTGTATTATGTTTCCTGCCTTAGTATACGATCTTGTATTCCATGCATTCAAAATATCCCACCAAATCGAAATTATCTCACATTTTGTAATTTATAACGGTATTTTTTACTCAATCAAAATTATTTTGGGCGGATGCCCCACGCTGACATGTGATTTTAGTTCAATCTCTTATAAAACTCTCATTCACTCTCATCTACTCTTTTTTTATCCCTATTTTTTTATTCAGATAATTTTTGTTTATTATCTTGCCACTATTTTTCCACTATTTGTGCAAAAATTGCTATTGTTATTGTTGTGCCAGTGAAACCGCCAGCGTATTTCTGTTCCAGCTGTTTGTGCCAGTCACCCACTTTTCCATGTACTTTTATCCTATCGCATTCGCACTCTCTCTTTATCTCCTGGCCGATGAGATTCGTGTGCTTTTTTCGAGATTCGATTTAACATTTCTCGAGTCGACTGTGCAGTAGCATGTATGAATGAATTTCTGATTTGTTGGGTTTGTTGGCTGTTTCGTTTTTTTGTTCTTTTTCTTCTCAGCAGATGTGTGTCGTGGGTACACAACTTTGTAGGTCTATGTCAGGCAGAATGGTTACTCTTGAATTGTGATAACAGTTAACAGTTCGAAGTTTTTCTATGTTTCTTCTTGTTCTGTTTTTTAGTTTCCTTCTTCAGTGATGTTAAGAATTTTATTATCCTTTTTAGGAGTCTGATTGTATGTTAGTGTGTGTCTGTGTTAGGTAGGCATTTCGAAGTTCTGAAACTGAAATGTTCACTTTGTAGGCAGCTACCTTAAAAAAAACAACCACTGATGCTCATTACTTTAAATTGAAATAACTTTTTCTCTTTCATTGTACGCGTGTCTTTTGAAATCGTGACCCTTCTATTTGCCATGGCAGGTAAGTTTTTCAAGAAAACTTTAAAACCTTTTTTGTCGATAACCATCACCGGAAATTAAATGACGGGCATCACATTTAAAAGTGTCATTTTTAATTTTTAAAGAACAGTAAATATTTTTGCAGCAAAATTACCGGGTTGTCTAACAAAAATCTATGTATTGAGAAAGTTATAAAAAGACCTATGCTTTTGGGAAAGCATTTTTGAGTTGAAAAATGTATTTCAGAGATTTAACCAGAAGGTTCAAGGTTCTAAATTATGGTTAGAGCAATTTGTTGCTGATATCCTAGGTTTATACCTCGATTTGTTCTACTATATTTATACCCTTAACCACACTTTGGATAGAATCCCTTTCTGAGTCGGTTTATGCATGTTCGTCTGTCCATCTATTAGTGTCAAATTGTACACAAAGTACAGGTCGCATTTAAAATCCGATCTGGATGAAATTTGATCGACTTTATGTAAATGGTGTACCAAAGTCTTTATAGATCTTTCGATTTGTACGAAATTTGGCACAGTGTACGGAATTAAATCTAGAGTGATGTGTGCTAAGTTTCGTGAAAATCGGTTCAGAATTGGATATAGCTCTCATATATAGTTTCGTCAGATTTTATGTAAATGGTGCACCAAAGTCCCTATATATCTTTCGATTTGTACTTAATTAAGTCTAGAATGTTGTGTGCTGAGTTTCGTGAAAATCGGTTCAGAATTAGATATATTTTCGTCCGATTTAAATAAATGGTGTACCAAAGTCCCTTAAAATCTTTCTATTTGCACGAAATTTGGCACAGCGTAATGAATTGGGTCTAGAATGGTGTGTGTTAAGTTTCCTGAAATCGGTTCAGAGTTAAATATAGCTTCTATATCTGACCAAATGAAAAATTTAGTATAGGTTGCAAAAGGACATGTTTATGGATCCAATTTCATTTTAGTGGTCCTTTAAAAATGCGACGTCTGTTGGTAGGTCCGAGTCTACTGGAAGTCTTTCGCGTTGATACCATCAGCTTGGTCTTCTCGCCATTTACTGCCAGACCCACTTTGGCAGACTCCATCTCAATTTGTTCAAAGGTGGCTGTTACCGCTCGCAATGTTCGACCCATTATATCGATGTCATCGGTGTAGGCGAGTACCATGTGATTTTTGGTGTACAGAGTACCATTTCTGTTCACCTTTACGTCTCTTATGACCTTTTCCAGCAGGATGTTAAAAAGATCACTAGACAAATTGTCACCTTGTATGAATCCTTGTTCGGTATTAAAGGGCTCCGATAGGCCCTTTCCGACTTTAACTGCTGACCTTGTGTCACTTAAAGTTATCCTGCATATCCGTATAAATTTTGCAGGAATGCCGAACGCAGATATGGCTTCAAACATCTCTGAACGGATAGGGCTGTCGAATGCGGCTGTATAGTCGACGAATAGATGGAATGTGTCGATCGATCGATGTGTTTTTCCAGGATTTGGCGCAGAATGAAAATCTGGTCAATGGTTGATTTGCCAGGTCTGAATCTGCATTTGTATGGTCGATTAATGTCATTGACCATTAGCGTCAGTCGTTCACACAGCACACATCATATAGTCTTGTCTCATGTTTTGTGCACAGGACGCAGGACCAGCATCTGGCCACCAATCTTGAATAGTTCGGCTGGTAACCCATCAGCCGATGGGTTGCTGCTTTATTATTCTTGAGCCGATTAATTGATGTTATAACCTCATCTTGGCTAGGTGGTATACACTCTATACCATCATCTGTTATTGGTTCAGGGGTATATTCTTCACCGATGCCAGAAGCCGTTCAAAATGCCAGATCCTCAACACGCTGTCTGTATATGTCACCAAGTTTCCTTCTTCATCCCTACAGTAGGATGTGCCCGCACCAAAGCCTTCGGTTTGGAGTTTTAGTCAATGTTAAAATTTCCGCATTCTGACTCCTCTATATCCCGATTTTCTCACACTTTTCTTGCTCTTTCTTCTTTTTTCTGAAAATACGTTTCTGCTCTCTCTATTTCTCCTGATAATTCACCATCGCATTACGCATTGCCCTATACTCTGCGTTTTTCACATCTGTAGCATTACGACATTCCTGATCGTACCATAGGTTTCTTGACGGTGGTTTTTGGTACCCAAGTTTTGCTTTTGCTGCAGTTTGTAGGGAGTGCGCAATTCTTTGTCATTGTGCTTCTATACTATTATCGGGACAAGGTGTGCTTTCGTCAAGTAGACGGATAAGTTGAGCGGAGTAGACTTCTGCTATCGGTTGTGTTTGCAGGTTTTCGACGTCGAGTTCTCGTTTTGTGTTAGATCGCAACTTTGCTGCTACATTAAGACGAGTGCGAACCTTGGCTGCTACAAGGTAATGTCGCGAATCGGCATTCGCTCATCGCCATGATCCGTATTTTCAATTGTTCAACATTTCCATCCCTTGAAATGTGGAACAGAGGCTCCTCTCTCATTGCTTGACAAACAACTCGATATTTTGAGATAAATTTTTTCTGATCGTCATTCTGTTTGAAATATTCGTCTGAGGCTCCATAAATTGCCCACTATTTAAGATTACAATCACTAAAAAAGTATGCAAATTTTTCAAAAAAAAAATGTTCATTGAGCAATCTATTGAATATTGAATCAATATTAAAAATTGGAAATTTTCCCTTCGCAACATTTTAACATATTCTAAACAAGTTGACTATAATTTGGGTATTATAAATTCCCTAATTATATTTCGGATGAAATTTTTTCTGCAATACTAAATAAAACGACTAATTTTCATATAAATCTATTCAACCAAAACGGCTTTGTTTCAATTAATTTAAAATACCATTTAATGTTACTATTAAATCATTCAATAATTCTAAATTAAAACATTTCTAAAAATAAATGGAATATTTTTTCTAATTTCAACAAAACATCGATTTCAATAACCAAAAAATATTACAAATTAATAGCAACAAAGTCCATTTGTGAAAATGTTTTCAAGAACGCAACACGCTTTATTGGTTTTGTGGTATTTAGCGGTTCAGCAGCAGGTAACATTACAATATTCCCAAAAACCACGTCTATTACAAAATAACACCATTTCAGCATGTAACAGAATGTCGTGACATTATTTTGGAAGTCCAAAATGTCACCTGCGAAAAGTATACCAATCATTTGCGTTGCATTGAATGCCATTTTGTGAAACTTGCCACCAACAGTTATGGCATAACCACACAAATTATTTTCGACAACGATATGGGTCGTAGCTTTAAATCCCGCATCTCTGTCGATATAATGCCAATAAATTCGAAACAAATTATTCACATGGCCGATATACGTTTCAATGTGTGCGTTTTCCTCAAACAAATGGTTAATAATCAAGTTATCGAGGCTTTGTCGAAGGAATTTAAACGTGTCGCCAATCTACCACAATCGTGTCCATTTAAAAAGGTAAAAATATTTCGAAATATGAAAATTTATTTTAAAAATTGTATTTTTAGAATGTCTTATATGAATCGAAAAACTTCACACTGACTGATAAATATGTACCAACGTATTTGGCCTTAATGAATTTCACATTTAAGGTGGAGCTTTTTAATAAGAATGTAATTATTGGTATGTGGCAAATCGATGGTGGTACTCGTGCTAGAAAGAATAAAAATTAAACACATAATTTTGTTATTGTTGGTAACAATTTAAAAATATATGAATATGTTTAAATTGGTCATTTACATAATGCATGATTTTTAAACGGCTCGAAATATTGAAACCGTGGGTATTTTATTTCTACATTATTTTATATATATTATATATATATATATTTGTCGGTGAATTTGGTAAAGGTTATAAGTAGTAGTAAAATAATTAGGTCTACAATTTCAATAACAAAAAATAAATTAAAATTTGTAAAATAAAAAAGGTTTAAAGAGTGTATATGCATATGTATTTTTTCTTGATTAAATGAAATCCGCACATATTTATCAATACATAATTAAGACCGGGCAGATGGAGTTTATAATTTAACAAAAACGGAAATTCTATATGGAACTTATAATGGAACATAGAAGTCTCAGTGGATTCATTATGGTCAATCCTTGGTTCTGGAAATCTTTGACCTTGTGTTGAAAATTCCAATTACTTACTTACTTAGGTGACTTATGGCAGAACGGTTGATTCATAAGCCGATCTTTAAACCAGTAAGGTAAGTAGTAAAGTCGGACGGGGCCGACTATATGATACCCTTCACCACTTTAGGTATATCCAACAGATGAAACCTAAAAGATCTCGAGTTTTTATAGGACCAGGGACAAAATTATGAAAATCAATTATAAGTATATATATATATATATATATATATCAAAATCTAATCCGATTTGAACTAAACTTGCCACACGTTATGTTATGTTCAGTACGTAGAGCAAAATTTTGTGCCGATTGAACCCACCATGGTAAAGCATTTAAAACCAACTTCTAGGTTATTCTAATTCCAGTACGTTGTGAAAAGTTTGTGTCAATTTTGTGTAAAATCGGACGACACCATTTACATAAAATCGGACGAAAATATATATGGGGGCTATATCTAAATCTGGACCGATTTTCAGGAAACCTAACACACATCGTTCTAGAGCTAATTCATTACGCTATGTCAAATTTCGTGCACATCGAAAGATATATAGGGACTTTGGTATACCATTTACATATATATATATATGGGAGATATATATATATATATATATCTGCACCGATTTTCAGGAAACTTAACACACATCGTTCTAGAGCTAATTCATTACGCTATGTCAAATTTCGTGCACATCGAAAGATATATAGGGACTTTGGTATACCATTTACATAAAATCGAATGAAAATATATATGGGAGCTATATATAAATCTGGACCGATTATCAGAAAACTTAACACACATCATTCTAAACGTAATTTAGTACACTGTGCCAAATTTCGTACAAATCGAAAGGTACACCATATACATTAAATCGGACGAAAATATATATGGGGGCTATATCTAAATCTGGACCGATTTTCAGGAAACTTAACATACATCATTCTAAAGCTAATTCATTACGCTATGTCAAATTTCGTGCAAATCGAAAGATATATAGGGACGTTGGTATACCATTTACATAAAATCGGACGAAAATATATATGGGAGCTATATCTAAATCTGATCCGATATTCTTCAGTTTCAATAGGGTTCGTCCTTGGGCCAAATAAGTGACTTGTGCCAAATTTCATTCAATTCGGATAATAAATGCGACCTGCACTTTTCTTACAATGTAACATGGACAGACGTACAGACGGACGGACGGACATACGGACATGCATAAATCGACTCAGAAAGTGATTCTATGCTTATTCTCAAAAGGAACCATGTGTCTATCTCGTTTCCTTTTGCCTGTTACAAGCATATGCACAAAGACATAATACCCTGTACCACAGTGTGGTGAAGGGTATAAAAAGGATTTGCATGCGCGTCGGTCTTGTGCGCAGCTAATCCAATTTGAAAGACCATGTTCCGAGATTTTGTCTTCTACTTGATCTCTTCATCGAATTCTTGGCCTTCCCCTTCTGTGTGAAGCATCACTTGACTCGCTTTTATACGCCTTTTGGGCGTGGTCATCCTCATTCATTCTCACAACATGGCCTAGCCAACGTAGTTGTTGCAGCTCGATCCGTCTGACTATGTCGATGGCCAAGAATAGATGGTACAGCTCATGGTTCATTCGACGACGTTATTCACCATCAACGCAGATCGGCCCTTAGATCTCCCCGAGTATTTTTCTCTCAAACACTCCAGGAACTTTCTCATCTGCTTGCGCAAGTACACATGCTTCAGATCCATAGAACAGCACGCCTAATATCAGCGTCTTGTAGAGCGTGAGTTTGATCTGGCGAGAAGTGACCTGGTTTCTAAACTTCTTACTTCGACCATAGTAGCATCTATTTTCCTCCGAATTTCGAAACTGACTTCATTTGTTTTATTTATGGCGCAGAGTGAGATTTTGGTTCGGTTGGAGAGGTGGCCTTGCTTTTGAGTTGCTTACTCAGACAATAGTAGCAACTTTTGGCCAACACTCGTACGGATTTCAAAGTTAATGTTATTAGGTTTCTTTATGGCGGTACCACGATATATAAATTGGTCCGCTACCTCGAGTTCCACAATGCAAGTTCCACAGTTGATCCGAGTCAACTAAACGTCTTGATACCATCAGCTTCGTCTTTTCGCCCTCTTAATACCAGTCCCTCTTTGCTAGACTCCTACTCAGTTTGTTCAAAGATGGCTGTTACCGCTCGCAATGTTTGACCCATTGTATCGATGTCACAGGCATGGGCGAGTAACATGTGTTGCTTGGTGTACATAGTGTCATTTCTGTTCACCTTTGCGTCTCGTATGACCTTTTCCAGCAGGATGTTAAAAAGGTCACACGACAAACTGTCACCCTGTTTGAATCCTCGTTCGGTATTTAAAGGGTTCCGAATGTTCCTTTCCGACTTTAACTTCTGATTTTGTGCCAGTCAAAGTTATCCTGCATAGCCTATTAATTATGCAGGAATACGGAACGCAGACATGGCCTTAAACACCTGTGAACGGATAGGGCTGTCAAATGCTGCTTGATAGTCGACGAATAGGTTAAATGTGTCGATGTGTTTTTCGTGGGTCTTTTCTAAGATTTGGCGCAGAGTGAATATCTGGTCAATGGTGGATTAGCCAGGCCTGAAGCCGCATTTGTATGGCCAAATAATCTCATTGGCCATTGGCTTCAGTCGTTCACACAGCACAGTGTATAGCACTTTATATGCGATGAGGAGGAGACTAATTCCTCTATAGTTAGCACATATCGTCTTGTCTCCTTTTTGTGCACAGGGCACAGGATGCTACGGTTCCAATCATTGGGCATTCATTCCTCTAACCAAATTGTACAAATCAGCTGGTGCATGCTTCTGATCAGCATCTGACCACCGGTCTTAAATAGTTCGGCTGTAGACTATCCGCACCTGCTGCTTTATTATTTTTTGGCCGATAGATTGCTATTCTGACCTCATCTTGGCTAGGTGGTTGGTATACGCTTTACACCGTCATCTCTATTGGTTGTGGGCCACTATTTGATACTAGAAGCTTTCCAAAATGATATTTCCAGATCCTCAACACGCTAAATATATCTAACACCATGTTTCCATCTTCATCTCTACCGGGTGATGTGCCTGCACCGAAGCCTTCGGTGGTAAAATTTCCGGACTTCATTCTGACTCCTCTATATCTCTATTTGATCACGCTCACGTTTTTCTTGGTCCTTCTTCGTTTTTCTGAAAATACGTTTCTCCTCTCCCCTTTTCACCCGATAATTCTCCCTGCATTTTTCATATCAGTGGTATTAAGACACTCTTGATCGTACTGTGGGTTTCTTGAATGAGGTCTTTAATATCCAAGTGTTGCTTTTGCTGAAGTTTATAGAGGGTGGGCAATTATTTGCCATTGTGCTTCTGTGTTATTATCGGGACAAGGAGAGCTTTCGTCAAGCAGGTGGGTAAGGTGAGCAGAGTAGGCTTCCGCTATCTGTTGTATTTAAAGCTTTTCGACGTCGAGTTCCGTGTTGTGTTAGATCGCACCTTTGCTGCTACATTAATACCACCACTCTATTTTAATTTTGCAGTCATGGCCCGGGAACGGGTCATATGGTCTAGGCGCAACATATGTCTTTGATCTGTTCATATTTGCCTTCGGGCGGAGCATGGGCACAAATGAGAGTGATGCAGAAGAACTTCGTTTTTATTTAATCATGTCTCGTTTCATGGCAACTGTATTACAGTACGTAATCATATAATTTACTTCCACCTGTCCCTTTCCATCGCATTTCCTGTAAGGCAATAATATCGGCTTTGTACTTCTTGAGTACATCCGCCAAAGCGAGTACATCCGTACATTCTAAGTGTAGATTCGCAGATCGATGTCTTTTATACGTTTGCGGGGGTCGTCAACATTAAAGGGGGTTTTTTTTCGTAGCTTTTTGATGGTAGAAAGGGGTTTCCCGTGTGTGGGCAACTAACCCGGCGACTCAAGCCGTCTTATGGGTAAACTCACGGCACATATCAGCTCATTATTTCACCGGTCGAAGAAAGTAGCTACCCCAGGTGACACCGCGGGGACGTCTGTTTCCAAAAAGATGGATCAAGATAAGCGTGGGCTTTGCCATGTTAAACCCAATCAGAACCGTTGATTGGTATCTATCATCCTCCACGTCTCTTTAATCTTCTATAATTTATTTTTTAACCTTTTCAAACAATCGAATCCGCATATACAGTGAGTGTAAAAAGTATTTTGCCTCAATAAAAATTTGAAAAAATTCCAATATATACGTCTGAAGCCAGCAAACTAAAGAAGTAAAATGACTTATGTATGATGGAGTACATTTGTGGACATATTTAGATCGTATTTCTGCAAGAATCAAAGCGAAAGACCTATTAGTCTCGAAGATATCGGCCGAAATATATAATAACCCAAAAATGTTTATCACAAAAAAGTATTTTGCTTTTTATTATAATTTTAGAAAAAAAATGTTACATTGAACACGTTTGGTCTTTTTATAGTTACAATTGCGGTTAACCATATACTATAACCGATTTGACCACGATTTCATTACATCACGGCATT